AAAAGATGCTCTGCAATATCGCAGACCAAAACCCAACAGTGGGAAGACAAAAGCTCCCTCTTTACAGGAAGAGTCAATCAGTGCTTCTGCAGTCAGGAGTGAGCTCTAATCAGGTGATTGACTGGACTACTTAACTTGCAGCTGCGTTGATGATGGCCTCTAATGAGCCACAGGGGCAGCCAGTCAGACCTGAGAGCGCCAACATACGTATGCAAATAAATCTTTGACATATGCTCATCTCTGCTCGGTGTACCGGGAATGTGGGTAAGGGGGTTTATCATGTCAGAAAGCTTCCTGTGATTCTGATTATCTCTGTTGACTCATTTGGCATGTTTAAGGACTCCAAAACAACCAAGTGTCTTTTTCCAAGTCTCTGTCACAGTGATATCAAGATACCTTTTTTCACTTTGAGAGGCAATTGTCTGAGTCTATCTGAGATAAACAAGGACAAATAACCTCAGTAAACCTGAACACAAATCGGCGGTTTGCATGAACGAAATGGCCCGTCTAAGTCCAATCGCATGTTTATTCAGCATACAGGTTGTAGGTTGTATCAGTGCCTTGCTGTTCTCAGCAGCTATACTATATGGCGAAGCTGAGTCTCTAAATGTGTCCATTATGATGGTGAGTTCCTGCCTGATAGACTGTTCTAATAAAAGACTTAACAGGTATCTGAGGATGTGCTGTGTGATAAACTGATAAAATCACATCCTGAGGTTAATGGCACGCTTTGTTCTACAGATCAGTTTACCACAGCATCTATTTGCAGTACTGTGACTCAACAATGCATCCCACTTTAATCTAAGGTAAGCAGATTTATGCCAGTGACGGGTGAATCTCTGCTAGACTCTAATGTGTAAAATGGATTTCAAGCAGTAGAGAGCAAAGCAGTAATAACACTCAAGTTACTTCAAAATACAATTCAGACGGCCCACAAGCACGAGTGAAAGCTGACACTGTACAGCAGAGGACCCTCCGGCTATGAGGGGAGAAGGGTTTGGAAAAAGAAAAAGTGTGTTTGAAGCTTAAAATCAGCCCGAGTACACACTGTGGAAATCTACACAGTTAATCATTTTCATTGGTATCAGTATTACCATGGCAATCAGGATATAAGGAAGGAAGTTTTTTTAAGTATTGATGTCAGAAGATATGAAATAGTAACTTTCATTTCCTCAAATTTGTGATCAAGTTCATCACTTGACTCACTCGAATTAGGAAATTGCAGTGATGTTATTTATTTTTATTTTTAGAGGAGCACATACCCACATGTTGAACCTCGCTGGTTCTCATTTTATTGTTGAATTAACTCTCCAGCAAGCTTTCAGGGGGAGCTGAAGTAGAACGATCAGGCTGCACAACAAAACGAGGGAGTCTGCCAAACACAAAAGAAGTCTGGGCAAAGAGCTGCTCCATTTTCGGTGCTGCTGTAGTCGCATTTTGTGGATAAAAAATTCCACTTGTGGCTCAATGCCAGAGTTACACATGACCAGTTTGCTCATGTACATTTCCTCTCAGAATGACACAGGGTTAACTCAGCGATTGCTCAATAGAAACCTATTCTTAAAATATGAGCTCTAAGGTACAATCTCTAAGCTCTAAGATAGTAAAATGTTATGTTGTACAGTATATGAATTAATATTAAAGATGTTATCTTGTAGATGGTTTTTAGAATATTTGATTCACAAAGAAAGCTCGAAAAGTAAAAACAAGAGAGAAACAGTGTTAAAACACAGTTCAGTAATATTTAATATTAAAAAAAATAATTAAAAACACTGAAATTGAACAAAAAAATCCATATTTATGGTTTTACAGCTGTAAAATTTATTCCAAATACCAAGGCATAACCTGCACCAGACTACGTTTAGGCAGCTGAGACGTTAATAATGAAAGTAATATACAAACCGGATTCCAAAAAAGTTGGGACACTAAACAAATTGTGAATAAAAACTGAATGCAATGATGTGGAGATGGCAAATGTCAATATTTTATTCAGAATAGAACATAAATCACAGAACAAAAGTTTAAACTGAGAAAAGTTATCATTTTAAGGGAAAAATATGGGGATTCAAAATGTCATGGTGTCAACAAATCCCCAAAAAGTTGGGACAAGGCCATTTTCACCACTGTGTGGCATCTCCCCTTCTTCTTACAACACTCAACAGACGTCTGGGGAC